AGTACGTTTCCACGTGTGGAATTTAGTAAAGTTTAAGACAATCACAAAATAATTTGCGTCACTTCGTTTGCTTTAATGTTTTGTTGTAAAACGTCGATCCAGAACAGTTTTTACCAGCGCATTATATACATATTTTTCATGCTTGTGTATTTTGGAATTGGTTATGGTTATGAACCTCCGAACCTCGAAAATGAACTACAAACGAGTGGCAGTTTCCAGGCCACATACTAGTAAACAAGTAAAATATACTGATTTAGCGAGGAGAAAAGTATTTACTCTTTTAAGTTTACGAAATGAAAATGATGTGAAATGGCGCTCAGGGCGATGTTGCAGGTTTTTGAAACCGATACAAAAACCTGCACTGAAATTGCTGCCAAAATTTTCAATGTTGCGTTAAAAATGTTCTCGTGAAACATCATTCAATTTCGTCGTTGCAAATTGTTCGGTGTACCGTTACACCACCTTAATAAACTGGCTAGCGAAGTTAGCAGTAATAAAAATAAAGAACCTGAAACACACGTAATACTAATAACTAGTAATTGTGTAAACAAACCTCGCTGTGGCCTCGCGAAGGCTTTCTCCAGCATCAAAGCTCAACAGATTTCCTATAAAAGGCAAACTTGTCAGATGTGGTCCCGGCGGCATGTTCCTGAACTGATACAGCTCAATCAGGTGATTGAGAATCAGCAAGAACGGGATAGCAAGGAAAATATTTCCCAGAGTAAAATATTCAGATAACATCAGCTCCATCTTCGAAATATGCAAATGTTGGATCACGCGATGCAAATCTATGTCGATGATTGACACTCCGAACAATGCTTATTGTACTCATCTACGTCGTTCTGATACAACTCGAAGTCGTTTCGATATAAAGTGGTATCGTTACCAAGTCGTTTCGATACATATCAGAGTCCATTCGATCGACATCTAAAGTTAATTCGATACAAACCAAAGTCGTTTCCTTGGCAAAAGTAATCTCGAGGAAATATATATTGTGGTGACCCTCAACATTCCTTGCGTGACATTTCCAGAACACTCTTGCGTTATCACATGACATTTAGTTCTTAGGGGACGGGGGATTTGCCAGTTCCCCTCAATTGTAAACACGTGCCCTTTGAGTAAGTTGTTGTGGTTCGAGTGTTCTGTTGTTAGCAGAATAAAAGGAGATTAACTCTTATTACTGTTCGTCTATTCTGAACGCTAAAATATAATAGCATTTTAAGTCATTTCGACTTCGTCCACTAAGTAAACCAGGCGTAGTCAATCGATAAAACTTAAAAAACTTGGGGCCTGTTAACACAGAGTAGCGTCAGAGACATTCAAGCAGGTGTAATCGTTCCTGATGCTATTTCAGGACTAAGTTATGCACAAGGAGAGTTTGTTATCGCTGACGTGTCATGATAAGCACTCTGAAAATGGTTGCCTGACTAATGGCATTGTCTGTTTGCTTCACTAGAATGAAAGATGTGCTCAACTATCAGGATGTGCAGTCTGACTTGGCTAACTTTCTAATTTGACTGGCATTACTTTATTCCAAACTTTAAAAGTGGATTGTGTGTTTGTGGGTGATTGGTGATGTTAATCATGTAATAATTAATTGGTACACTGAACACCTGCATGAATGGGAGTGCAAAATTTAATTAAGAATTTACACTACTCGTGATATTTCAAAATTCTCTCAAAATTGTACAAGCCTTTAAACGAATGCAGTTTCGAAAAATTTTCAAATATCATCAGTGGAGTAAATCTTAAATTGCTCCATATAATAACTTGTATTAGTATATACCACACAAGTGAATAGTGCTCTTCGCGCGCTCTGATTGGTTAATTAACTCGGAGGTGATTAGCAAGTACTATTCACCTCCACTTCGGTGAGTAATTGTTAATTAATTTGCATTACAGCGCATGCCATACTGTTGCTATGGTAACTATGTCATTGTGGCGCAAAAATGATAACAACTTGTTGAACAATGATTAAGCAGTTTTTGATACAACAATTGAAGCATCAACTGATAAAGAGTGATTGTAATAACCTAGGACGGATTTAGGGGGCAGGGTGGGGGAGGGCAAGGGGTTGTCTCGAGGGGTTCGCTTGAACCTCCTAAATTTAAAAAAAAATTCAAACATAATACCACGCTCCCTAGTAAGCAGCGACGACGGCAGCGCCAAGGACGACGTCTAGTCAAAAATTGATTTATATTTTTCTAGCTCGCGGAAAATTTCGCAATTGTATATATAGATTACTTCTTAGAAAGTGCGACGTACGGATTTTTATTCACGAGTTGCAAAACTTTGGATAACGCACTTGTTCGCGAAGCCATTTGCGCGCTTAACTCTGATTGGCTAAG